TCATCCATTCATTCTCTCAGCAAATACTTACTGAGTACCTACTCTGGGCTTCACTTTCTAAGGATGGGGGTCACCCGGAAGAAGATGGTCCTCCCAGCATTAACACCTATTTGACAATTTCTACACATTGGATTCCTGATGGTCTTGGTTGAGAAACACCCCTGCTCTGTTGGTTTCATGGGATGACAGAGAAAGAGTGTTCCAACAGGTAAAGCCTTGGCTTAATGGAAACTGTTTTTCGTTATCCAACTGAGGAATTTTACTGAACCACCCTGCAGTTTGTATTTCCTGTTTTTGTTCTCTTCAGATGCCAGAAAGCAGGCACTTCATAACTGTTAAAGATCAAGAGTTTTCTTTTTCGTGCAACGCTTAGGCATATAGGAGTCTGTAGGTAAAAGAACACCTTAGCAGCTTGAGGGTATTAAATAGACCAGCAGAGTAATGAACGCTACCTGGACGCTTAGGAGCAAGACACACTGATTTGGTTACTTTTTAATAATTCAAGTTACCCTCACTGCTCATGCTGGGGGGACTGAGCTTAATGAGGCTAATGAATAACTGCCCTGAAATGAACTACAATCCCCATAAACTTCTTGCACCTGCATTTCTGCAAACAAATCCTACATCTGCCTCCAAAAATCTCTATGGGGGGAGGGGGGGTTGTCCGTGTAAAATGTGTGTGTGTGTGTGTGTGTGTGTGTGTGTATAAATGCACACACATGTGCGTGAGTCACCTCATCCCAGGCTTGTTCTTTTTAGTCTCACCTTGCCCGAAGTATCATCCACTTTTTCTTCTACATTTTATTAAAGATTCTAAATTATTAGCAAATGATGTTTTCTCTAAACATGACCTATTAAAGTGTTCTCATATCATATATTCAAAACCTTACTGCTTCAATATCCTAAGAAGTAGAATTTCAGTAAACTTTTTTTTTTTTTACTAGACACAAAAAATTGATAAAACTGGGAAGATTTTGGATATAAGCATTTGATTAGAAATCCAAAGGTTCAAGATTTATTTTAAGTTGAGGAGGTATAACTGTGCAATTAATTAATACCTTTTAATGGGCTAAATGAGTTTGTACTTCTTTAATAATCAGAAAAAGACAAAAGAAAAATTCAAAAATATGAAATGGAAATTGAGAGACATGTTATGTATTTATCTTACTCCTGACCACTTCTTAAGAAAAAGAACAAATATGCTCAAGAAAAATTTTATAGAAAATTATCTTCGACTAAAAAGGAACACCAAGTGACGTGGCATGAGACTGAGTAATGCCCTATTCCAAGAATTTGGTGGTCATATTCTAAGAACTTTCTTGTCTCCATGATGTAGCAGTATGCAATAATACTAGCATTATCATCTGAGCAGAATTGGGGTACCCATGTATCTGGAATGGGATATTCATATCCTTGAGGCTACAAATCTTAGGTGAGTGTATCTCCAGAACCCAAGGCCTTTTTCCTTCATAGGAGCTTCCTAGAACCTAAACCCATCTGGATTGGAAGTAAATCCTCTGGGAGGGCTGTGAGTCATATCGGCAGCACTGGGATGACCCAAGAGAAACCCAGATTCACACTCTTCCTGTCTATACCCACATGGGCGCCTATGCCAGGAAATTAGAGAAACTCTGTGCTTATTTAGTCCCCAACTTTACAGTGCTGGGATGTGGCAATACAGATACATTGGAAGTAGTAGATAACTACAACCTGAAAATGGACTCTGTAAGGGTGCCTGATTTCCTGATTATTTCATCAATTTAAATTAGCTCCTCAGCAAAGGAAACCATAAACAAAATGAAAAGACAACCTACAGACTGGGAGAAAATATCTGCAAATGATGCAACCGACAAGGGGTTAATTTTCAAAATATACTAACATCTCATACAGCTCAATATAAAAAAAAACAATCAAAAAATGGGCAGAAGATCTAAATAGACATTTCTCCAAATAAGGCATACAGATGGCCAACAGGCACATGAAAAGATGCTCAATATCACTAATCATTAGAGAAGTGCAAATCAAAATTAAAATGACGTACCACCTCACACCAGTCAGAGTGGCCATCATTAAAACGTCTACAAATAACAAATGCTGGGGAGGGTGTGCAGAAAAGGGAAGCCTTCCTACACTGTTGGTGGGAATGTAAGTTGGTGCGGCCACTATGGAAAACAGTATGGAGGTTACTCAGAAAACTAAAAAAGATCTACCATATGATTCAGCAATTCCACTCCTGGGCATATATCCAGAGAAAATTCTAATTTGAAAAGATACAAGCACCCCTTTGTTCATAGCAGCACTATTTACAATAGCCAAGTCATGGAAACAACCTAAATGTCCATCAACAGATGCATGGAGAAAGAAGATATGGTGTGTGTGTGTGTGTGTGTGTGTATATATATATATATATATATATATATATATATATATATATAGTGGAATATTACTCAGCCATAAAAAAGAATGAAATAATGCCATTTGCAGCTACATGCATGGACCTAGAGATGATCATACTAAGTGAAGTAAGTCAGAAAGACAAATACCATATGATATCACTTATCTGTGGAACCTAAAACATGACACAAATGAACTTACATACGAAACAGACTCACATAGAGAACAGACTTGTAGTTGCCAAGGGGGAGGGGTGTGGGGGAGTGATGGATGGGGAGTTTGGGACTAGCAGATGCAAACTATTATATATAGAATGTATAAACAACAGTGTCCTATTGCATAGCTCAGGGAACTATATTCAATATCCTATAATAAACCCTAATGGAAAAGAAAAAAATTAGCTCCTAACGAGATCTTCATTTGATGTCTGACAAATTATTCTAATGTTCCTCTAAAAGAACAAGACTAATCTTTTTTAAGAGACAGGATTGTGCTATCAATTATTTTAATATAAAACTATAAATATTATAATATTAGAACAAACAGTAGTCTCTAAAACCAACTCTTATCTATAAAAAACTTATTGTAAAATAAAGAGCATATCTTGAGTCAGTCCAACCTCTTACGCTGGAGAAGTCGACAATTCAGAAAAATAATTCAGGTTGAGCCCTACCTCATACTACTGCCAAAAATTTTTGTAAAATATTAGAAGCATGTGTAAATTATCACCTAATGGTTCTCTGGAATAGGAATTAATTTCCAAGCATAAAAGTAATAGGAAAAACATCACAAAGGAAAAGATAGTTTTGACCACACAGGATTTTAAAGCCTCTGCATATCCCTCCTTAAAAAAATAAAACATAAATTGAAAAAATTGCAATCAACAGTCAGTACTTTACAGTGAGCTTTGCAAATTAATAAGAACCACAGTATTTCAATATAAAAATGAGCACGGCACACAGACATTTACATTGTCTAACAGATACAAGAAAATAACTTCCTACCTCATAGGAATTTAAAAAATCAAATTGAAAGAACACTGAGAAACCACTTTTCACTTTTTAAGTCAGCAAAACAGCTACCATGATTAATAACACATGTTGATGAAGTTAGTAAGCCAGGCACTCTCCAACACTGCTAGCCAGGGTGCAAATAGGCACAGCCTTTGCGGAAAGTAATTTGGCATTTTGGCAATTTAAGAGCCTTTTAAAAAGTTCATAGTTCATATCCTTTGACACAATAATTTTACCTCTAAGAATCTATTCTTAACAAAATAATGAGATGAACTTTAAGATTTTGCTACACACGTGAATCCAACAAGTATTTTCTGAGAGCCTGTTCTATGCTGGGCCCTGTGTTGGCAGTCATGGTGAATAAGACAAACAGGGCTACTGACCATCTGTTACTTTAAAAATGATGTTTACTGTGATATTTCTAGTATGCTAACCCTAAAAACAATCTAAGTAACACAATAAGGGAATGAGTAAATAAATTATGGTATGTTCATAAAACAATATTAGAAGGGCATTAAAAATAACTTTTGGAAATATGTGTAGTGACATGGGAAAATGCTTATGTTAAAATGTTAAAAGCCAAAAAATCATTATGCAAGACCAAATATATAATATTACTACAATTATGTAAAAATATATATATACTCAATGTAACATAGGTTACATAAGTGATCTCTGTAGTTTTCTAAAAGTCATAAAACCTGGGCTCTAGTCTCAGCTTCACTGCTTATTACGTGACTATGGGAAAGTCAGTTGAACTTCACAAGCCCCAATTTTCTAATTTGTAAAATGGAGCCGTAATTCAGGCCTTGACGCCCTCCCAGAACACAAATTAGATAATGCATGAACTGGTGTTTTGTAAGTTGAAAAGTTCTAAACAAATAACTGCATACTGGATTTTCTTAGTAGAGAAGAATGATTAGATCTGAAAGACTGAACCACTTTCTCCTACTTTGCTATGTCTCCTCTCTACTTCAAATTCCTATTCAGGGCTTCCCTGGTGGCACAGTGGTTAAGAGTCCGCCTGCCGATGCAGGGGACGCGGGTTCGTGCCCCGGTCCGGGAAGATCCCACATGCCGCGGAGCGGCTGGGCCCATGCCATGGCCGCTGAGCCTGCACGTCCGGAGCCTGTGCTCCGCAACGGGAGAGGCCACAACAGTGAGAGGCCCATGTACCGCAAAAAAAAAAAAAAAAAAAAATTCAATACAGTGTTCATTCAGGGGAAGTTTTTCTTGACTTGTCCCATTCTCTCTCGATCACTTACTTTGCATCTTTGCCACATTTATATGTACTACATTAATTCACACTTGTTGGCCAAGTATATCTCACATAGTGACTTTTCTTTTTCTAATCTGGAATCATTTATGAACTGAGTTTTTAGGAAATTCTAAAACTTCCATTTCTTCATGCCTATCCTAATCTTTTGCCCAAAGGAAATAGGGACATAACAACTGATTTGCCCTAAAATCAACAGATCTCTTCAGGAAAACATTCTGTAATGTCTCTGATGGGTGACAACTGGATCTAAAATATTATTCCCATCGCTATTATATTTTAAGTGTAAACCTTTCTCTGAGGCGAAGACCACCCACCTGATGCCTTGTGAGGCACTGTTCCCAGCAGAGGGACATTGACGGTTGGGTCTGCCATGATGCCTTTATCCAGGGAGCGCAAGGACAGGAATTCATAGAAGTATTCTGCCTACAACAAAAGGCATTGACAATCAGCACCATGGAAACCACAGAGAGTGGGAAGGCACTTCTCAATTCATCATCCCTCTGATGGAAGACTGACATTTTTCACTACAGGAATTCTGGAGCATACGGCACTTAAAATATTGTGTAGGCATAACTCTCTCTTCCGGGTTTTAGAACTCTAGAATTAGACTCTGCTTGGAGAGAAGTGATTCTTTAAAAATATTAATAACACATGTCCACGATATTCACAAGGTAGCCTTTTAGCTTAAAAGGACTGAGAAAACTTTTCTTAAGGAAACAGGTGATGTCAAAACAATCTTCAACTAGCCCTTAGAAAATCCATCTGAGCTTCTTGGGTCATTCTTTAATTCTTTTCAAATCTGACGTGAGTCTTTGACCAGAATTTGGAAAGATGTAATAAATAAGTGATAATGAAAGCAGCAACCTATTGGCAAAAGAAGACATGAAATTCCAAAATTTAATTATCTTGGTGTGAATGTTCATTTTTCAGTATCATTCCCTTTGGAAGGTTTATATTTAACATCTCAATTTAATTATGGAGAGAAATGTCTAAAAATGTGAAAACCACCTCTTCAATATGACAACAAGCCGTAAAGCTTTATATTGTAAACATTTTCATTTTCTCACTGAGTCTAGTTGAGAAAATGATTCTTGCTACTTGAATGGCCATGAAATACTGAAAGTAGTGATGTATAATCTCACTTAAGCTTTGATGCTTAACTGATTCTCAGCTGGATTATTAAAACGGTTTGTGATGGAAACAATGTGTTCTTGCTTAAGAATAAAGAACAATCAATAAATAGCACAGATTCTGAAATGAAAGATAGGCAGATTGAGAGGTTCTGCAGTTATCTGTAGGATATCCAGAATTTGGATGGCTTAATTAAGTTGATTACATAAACATGGGCTAGGAAGAGGTTTAAAAAAGAATACAGCCTATCTTATATGCAGTATAAAAATTTATATGCAGTATAAAATTTATTTTCCAATGTGGAAGATATAAGACATATATGGTAGACATTGACACAACTTTCTGCCTTAAGTCACAATATCAACGTATTAGGCATTAAGGGCTTTACCATGAGGGTGATCATGCAAAAGGGTAATCTCAGCAGCTATAGGGACACTGTCCAGGCCTGGAGTGAGTTGAAAAGCACTTGCAGCTTTCACTAGGTCAGAAGGGGCACCTTCACTGACCAAGTTCCCACTGCAACCGCTTCTTTGAATTGTGGCAGTGGTTCCAGAAGACCACTGTGAAAGGTTCCCTGGGTGGGTAAAAAGAGTTGTGTGAATTAATTTTACTAAATTCATTCACTAGGAGGGCCCTGAGGATAAAGGGTCATAAGACAGTTAATTCCTACCCTGTCTAAGGGAAGGATTGCAAGAATTCTGATGAAAAGAGTGTCATCAGGAAAGGTCATTCAATGGGAATGAATTCCTTTGAAAAAGAAAACATTATTTATGTGCCTTCAGGAAAACCAATGACTATTAAAAGTGGGCTGCTACTTAGACGGCGTTTCGTGAATCTAGGTGTTTTAATGACTTCTACCGGCTGTGCTTCCCTCTATACTTTACTAGATAATATTTGTCATTCCCCTTTTTGTTCTAAAGCATATCATGGTAGGTATTATGAAGGGATTTAGCACTGTATGCCCTCGTAATTAATAACTTTTGGTTACTTATATTACCAAGTACAGTAATATCAGCTAGCAACAATAACACAACAACCACTTGTGAAATTCCACATGCCAAAATATTCGAAATATTTGTATTTATAGTACATTTAACAATGGAAAAGAGCTGAGTGGACAGAGTGCAAATATGTTGAAAATAAAACATTTCAGTAGCTATATTGCTTCAAATAACACATAATGTTATCATTTGCTGCTCCATAATTATACCTTTCACATTATAAATTAAATCTGTTTATATGGATGATGTATTTTTAAAATGCATTTATAAAAACTAATATAATTTCAGTAAGTTTTTAAAATCATTTTCTGCATTAACAAGAAAAAGGATGGAAGACTAGACACCAAGATTAAAACAATGACTGTGTAGGATTTTTTTTTTTAATTGGAGTGTAGTTGCTGTACAATGTTGTGTTAGTTTCTGTTGTACAACAATGTGAATCAGCTATATCCCACCCCTCTAGGTCATAACAGAGCACTGAGCTGAGCTCCCTGTGCTATGTGGCTGCTTCCCACTAGCTGTCTATTTTACACATGGTAGTGTATATATGTCAATGCTACTCTCTCACTTCGTCCCACCCTGCGTCCACAAATCCCTTCTCTACGTCGTCGTCTCTTTTCCAAATTTTCCACATGTGGTTCCATGACTTTTATAGTGAAATAAATACACTTATTTAACAACAGACATTAATCATATACCCTGCTTTCAGTTCTGTGTGGCTGATGAGAATCATTGGCTCTATTTGTATAAATCTCTGATCAGAGTTGAAATATTCTTCTTGGGCTTCTATTTAGTGGGGCCACGCTCACGTAACAATGTATTTAATCTCCGGCAGTCTCCCTGAAAGTGTGCTTCCAGAAAACAACACTCGGTATTTAAGCAGATTCTGAATGTCTCTTTCAAAAGCTTTTGATGATGTTCACAGAAAGTGGGGCTGAAAGAATTTCACTCAGTCCAGAAATATAACTTCATAGAACCTTTGGGTCTCCTGTTGTTGCTTTTGAGTGTGGTCACGTAAAGTAGGTTGGGAAGCACGAATGCGCTATATTCAGTTCCAGAGAGTTTATAATTGGCATTGGCATTGGCATGGCCTCACCACAGGATGCAGCTAGGTTTAATAAACTTCTCTGGCAAGCCAATACTCTGATCTTATCAATCACGGATTTTACACTACAGGTTTTAGGATGTCCGTTTGATTTCTTTGAGAATCAGTGAACATCATGGCTTTTCTACTACAGTTCTATCACAAGGAACTGGTCAAAACAGTTTCTTCTTCGGATCTTATCAGCAAAAGACAGCTGCCAGAGAAAACCTTTTTACTTATTTGGCTTTCTTTTTAGAGATGATGATGCTGTAATCTCTAAAGTATATGATTTTCTTCATACCTGGTATATATTTTTCAAAAGGACTTTGTCCATGTTCATGTCCACTGCCTTCTTACAAACTCCAACTTGAAAACCACTTAGAAATTGACCCACCCTTTGTCTGATCTCAACACTGACTTCTTTCAGTTTCACTATGTCATTATAAAGCAATCTATCAAAATCACCAATACCACATAAATATTTTTACAAATAAATTATCATCACCATGAGGTAGAGATGAAATATATTCCTCATTTAGCTTAAGGGCTTAAATAGTTCCCTCAAAATCATAGAAAATGGCTGATGGAAGAGGTGATAGATTTATTAATGTCATATTATAACTCCTAGACAGGACTTTCTGTTTTTACTTTATTTATAATCAACATTCTTAGTCCCAAAACTCTCTCCTGGAAGAACTTATTTGGGGGCAAATAAAACCTAAATTCTATGCCAAAGAGAACAGAGAGCTAGCTTTAAAGTTTGGGAACAAGTTTCACAAACTGCACATTTATTATTGAGATAAAAGTAACTCAGAGCATGAACTGCAATAGGGAGGTGGCATGTTGGAGAGCATAAAACCTCTATTAGGAAAAAGTACATTCTGTTACATTAAATGACACTAGTGGAAACTCAGGTAGGGGTAACTAGGATGCTTATTTGGGAAACACATGAAAGGATTGCCTTGTATTCAAACAAAGAATGGGTCTATTCAGAAGAATAATTCACTTCTAAATTAAGTTGCTGAGAAATCTTGCTGGCCTGGTTTGCCATGCAGTAAATTTTCTTTTCATAGAGAGGTATAAAAGACACCCAAATATTATCAAGAAAGGAGGGCTGGAAGCCATTTAACTTGCTTCCAAGCAACTTGGCTGAATATTAGAGTTGTTCCTTCCAGAAGAGATGAAGACATCATTTAAACAGCAAAATGGGATAACTCATAAGGCCTTTGCTCTGGCACTCACTTTTGGGTAGACATGGAGAAAGGAAGCAGAGAATTGCATTAACCATTGGAAGGAATGGAGAGAATCCAGTATTTCTTTTCCACCTTTGAAGTTCTGAGTTTATGGTATACACTTAATCTAATAAGCACAATAATTGCAGGAACCTCTGAGTTAAGAATCAAAGGTTCTTCATAAAACCATGGCTCTCAAACCTCTTTTAACTTCATGCATTACGATGTTGGCCTAAGTATTCATGGGAAAACTTAAACAATAAAGGTATGGTATTTGTCCCTCCAAAATTCTCAGGTGATTTAAAAATACAGAACAGGACTTCCCTGGTGGCGCAGTGGGTAAGAATCCTCCTGCCAATGCAGGGGACACGGGTTCGAGCCCTGGTCTGGGAAGATCCCACGTGCCACAGAGCAACTAAGCCCGTGCGCCACAACTACTGAGCCTGCGCTCTAGAGCCCGCGAGCCACAACTACTGAAGCCCACGCACCTAGAGCCCGTGCTCCGCAACAAGAGAAGCCACCGCAATGAGAAGCCTGCGCACCACAATGAAGAGCAGCCCCCACGCACCACAGTTAGAGAAAGCCCACGCGCAGAAATGAAGAGGTCTTCATTTCTTCACGCAGCCAAAAATAAAAATAAATAAATAAATTTATTAAAAAAATACAGAACATACTGCCATAAAGTTTGAAATTTTACCAATAATTTTTGCTGAGTGTTCATTATACTCTAGTCACTGTTCATTTAATTGTCACAACAGCCTACTATTATAGCATACAAGTATGTTCAGATTAGCCAGGCCCTGAGCCTGAGAATTACTAAAGGAATATAAAATAGCTCCTACACAGTATGTGAAATGCAAGAAGAAATCTACTAAAATAAGCAAGAAAGGAAAATAGTTCAATGCTGAAGTCCCAAACAAAACGAATAAGCATGCCCAATGCTTAAAATAATCTGACACCTGAATGTCTAGACCA